TGCTCTGTGTTCCCTGAGGCTCCAGAAGTCTGACTCAACTCTCTTTCCATTCCCTCAGGCATGTACTCCTGTCCCTGCTACTACTATCCCAACAGAGCAGGCAGCACAGACCGAGCTTCTTTTATCATTGGCATCGACCTCCGTTCTGGGAACATGGCATCTGATCACTGGATCAAGCGGGGCACTGCCCTGCTCATGAGCCTGGACAGCTGAGAAGGCTCCTCTTCAGCCTATCTTCAGAGAGGGTGGAGGACTCTCGGAATCCACCTTGGACGCTGGCTAGGTCTCACTCAGGCTTTGGCCTCGGTTGAATCTGTTCCGTGCTGGAGCCCTAAAGATCGCTATTTGCGCTAGCCATAAAGGTGGAAGAATTGTTTCGCGTGTCAATGCAGTAAATCATACCCGCGATCATACCCTACGTCTTGCAGTGGGACGCTCAGGAGAAGTCCAGACTTCACAGGAGCTTCTGGGAACCTGCAAGGGGACCCGGGCCCGAGCAAAGGGAGGCGTGGCCTTGCGTGGATGGGCAGGGCAGCGGGGCTAGGGGGGCGTGGCTAGGCCTGCGGACTGACGGGACTGAAGGGGATGGGGCGGGACTTGCAATTGAAGGCGGGCGATCCGAAGCCAAAGGGCTTTCCAAGCAGGGAGGGGGCTGAGCCCGCCGGGCTGTACCCTGGAGCTCACTCCCTGCAGCCGCCATCCTCCGCAGCGGCGCGCGGAGGCGAAAGTACTGTCAGGGCGGGGGGCGGAGTCGGGGAGCGGCAGGCGGGGCGGGCCCCGTCGAGGAGGCGGGGCGGAGCGGGGAGGGGGCGGTGTTTGTGTTGGAAAATCCAACTGCGCCACTGGGCGGAGCGGCCCCCCCAGCCCCGGCCAGGGAGGGGGGGCCGCTCGACCCCCTGGAGACCCTGGGGAGCCTGAACACCTGGGACACCCCAGAATCAGGTAACGGGGGGCCGCGAAGGATCCGGGATGAGGAAAAGTGTTTCGGTGCAAGGGGGCGGGACGCCCGAGTGGAAGGAGGAGCAGGTCTGGGGATGAACGTTTGCTTCGGGTCTCGGCGAAGGGGACACGGAGACGGCTGCAGCGCAGGGAATCAGAGCCCTCGAGAGGGCAGGGCGGGAATGGCACCGTTGCGGAGGCTTAGGTCTTGAGTTAAGGATGTTTCTTGGGTTACGAAGTGAGTTCTAGGCCCCGGAGCGTTGCGCTTCCCCTTCCTGGCACTAAGGCGAGGCGGACTGGAGGGACGTTGACCGAAGGTCAGAATTCGCTGATCAGCGCGGTGGCCCTGGAGGTCGCTCACAGTCCGACGGAGGTATCACTGGTTTGGGGGCCAAGTCTCCAGCTATTTCCGTGGAGAAAGTATAGCTTCAGACCTGACCTGCAAACCCGGAGCCCGGACGGTGTCCAGGAGCGGCTTTCGCCCATCCCTTCAGTTTGCTTCGCCCTCAGCCCCGCACTGCTGTCCACTGCCCCCATCCCTCTCCCGGTCCGAGCGCTTCTCGGTGCTGAATACCCCACGTGGCCACGAGATGGCGAGGGTGAGACGCACAGCTGACACCGGGAGGGGGCTGTGGCAGGGGCCGGGGGAAAGGCTGCAGCCCTGGCCGGGTCCTGAGGAATAGGTGGGAGAAAACGCTGCCTTGATTTGTCCTCTCGGCAACTTTCACTAGAAACTGTAGGCGCAAGGCTAAAGGCATAATAGGAGGCTGGGGACACGGTCTCCGCCCCCCCCCCCCCCCGCCTCACTCCCCAGCAGAGGAAAGTCGTGGGGAGAGGGGCACGCCAGCTAGTTTCTAAGCAACGCGGATTCGCTCGGTCGGCTGTAATTTGGGGTGGGAGTTGGCGAGAGCGGGGAGCTGGAGCACCGGGGAAGATCGGGAGCAGGACGCCTGGCTCCCGCGCCAGGAAGAAGGGAGGGAGGCAGAGGGGACCGCGGCCGCGGAAGTGCGTCTGGCGCCGTCGGGAGGGAGGCCGGCTCCCAGTCCGCCGCGAACTCCTCGCTACCTACCCTCCCGGGGTTGCTTACCCTGTTGCCAGAGTAACTGAGCTCGACGTCCACCCCGGATTCTTGAACTCCCGCGCCCGCCCAATCCGCTCCCGCGAACGACCCTGACATCAGAGCCCCGGCAGCCAATGCCGAGGAAGCGTTAGAGACAGGAAGAGAATGAGGGGCGGGAAAGGGGAGGGGAAAGGAGAGGGCAGCTGCCTGGGACCCGCACGTGCACTCCCACACGCTGGCCCACCCCACTCCCTCCGCAGCACGCGCCCGAGGAGCCTTCGTGCGCCTGCGCAGCGAGTCGGCACTCGTTGCCTGCCCCCCCCAGCCTCTCGATCGAGTCTGTGTTTGCAGAGTCGTCCCGGGCAGCGCTCCTAAGCTGCCCCCGGGGACCCAGACGTCTGGGGCCGCCGGCGCTCGTTCGCTGGGTGTCGAACCGTTAAAGCCTAGCCTTGCGCGGGGGGGCCAGGCTACCTGTTCTGCACTATCCCCCCGCCCCCCAGCTGACGCCCCGCTTTCCCAGGTGGGCTGGGCGGAGCTGCGGTTTCCGGGCCCCTCACGCCCCGGTGCTGCCTGCACCGACTCTGACTTAGGTCGCCTCCCCAGAGGGACCGGAACGGGTCCAGCGCCCCTTTCCGAGGCCTCGCTCACCCGGGCACTGTCGGTGGCAAGGCAGAGGGCTCCGGGGAAGCCCCGGCCAGGTGACTCTTCGCCGGCCACCATAACCCTCCCTCGCAGGACTCCCTCCTCTTTGTTGTGCACCCAACTCATTTCCGCCCCTGACAGTTCTCTCCCACTCGTCTGATGCTCTTTGCACCCCTTTTGACTCATTTCGAGTAGCCTGTGCTGGTCTCCACTCGTCCTTCTCGACATCTCCCGGTTATATAACGCTTCTCGCCGTGTCCTGGTTTCAACTCCGCAGACTCCGCCCTGGAATAGCGCGGGGAGGGGCAGGAGAGTTAGGGACCCAGACACATTCCGGCTGGCGGCTGGCTGGGCCAAGGGGGAATCCCATATGTGGGGAGACGGTGCCCCCTCCTCACCTCCTGAACACCACCAGAAATCTCTTCCAGGCGGAACAAGGCACTTTCTCTGGAAGGCTTGTCGGGACTCCGTCTGAAACGTGGGTTGGGAGGTCAGAATTGGAAATGGAGAGCCGAAGGCGAGAAGCTGGCTCTTAGGGTCGGAGCAAGAAGAGGGCACTAAGAGAGAGAAAGGCAGGACGCTTGGGTCCCCATCCCTCCTCTCTTCTTTGGGTTCCCAGAATTCCTAAGGCTAATTTCCCAGGAAGCTTAGCCTGCAGCCCCTCTCCGCCCATAGGGGTCAAAGGTCTGTGTTAGAGGTGGCCTAGGATGATGTCACCAATGCACGTGCCCCGGGATAGTTGCCAGGCAATGTAGCCTCCTCCCCCTTTCAGTCTGGCCCCTCCACCTCTGCCCCTGAGTCCAGTTCCAGACCCGTGCCGCCTTTTCCCCCTCTCCTTTCCCTTGGCCTAAGCTTCCTGCAGGTGGGAAACCCTGGCCTGGAGTTTTTGAGGGGGGAGGGGCACGGGTGTGGTGTGGCCCAAAGACTTTGCCCTTTGCTGGGCCGAGAGAATACAAGGGTCACTTTTCTTTGGATGGACACAGAAGAGTTTTCCTTCCGAAGTCTCTTCCCCACTCGCAAGGGCCTCCCAACAATTGCTTTACTTCCCACCTGCTGCACTGCCCCATCCCATTTGGGAATGGTAGCAAGAGAGTCACCCTCGGAAAAGAGCTGCATGTGGTACAAGGGATTTCTTGGTCACCTTCTTACCTCCAACCTTATCAGAGGCATTCAGGGTCCCCATCCTTATTCCTCAGGATAAGGAGGGAAAAAAAAGGCCGATAAACAGTATTAGATTAAAAAAAAAATCCCAGTCCTTATTCTTGTAGGTGGGTGAGTCCGTTTGTGCCTCATTCTAGAGAGGCAGAAAACTCAGTGGATAGCTTTGACTGCCCTTCTCTATTGAGTTAAATCCCGCGATTGATTGTGGTGTTGGGGAGAAATCTGTTTTTATGTACCTTAAAACTTGGGCATTCAGCTCAGACTTGATTCTATTTCCAATTCTGCCACTTAGTGGCTATAGGGAATTGAAAAGATCACAACCTCTGTGAACCTCGTATTCTTAATCTAAAAAATAAAAATATCAATACCTACCTTCCAGGCAGTCAGAAGGGAAAATGAGATGATTTATGCAAAGCACTTAGCACAGTACCTGGCATAGAATGAGCACTGAATAAATGCTTGTTATGAAATACTTGTAGCTAAATGGCATTGGTTGTTATTATTATTATTATAGTTGAAGGGCCTGCTTCCAATTGGCCAGGGTCTCTGGAGTTTATTAGTGAGGAGTGGAGAGTCTCTGTTAATTTGGTGAGTGGGAAGGGGGCTGTAGGGATTAGCTTCCCCTCCTTTGTGCACTTTATTTGATGAGCGCTTTAGTCAGATTTGTATTGCTTTCTTTAGGATTAATTTTTTCCCCCTCTTGGAGAAGAAACAGCTAAGACTATTCCTCTGGCTGTGAAAATAAAATAATGGTATTGTGGTTCTTAATTTTCAAGCAAGACCCCAGTCTGCTCCCATGTTCTTTGGAACCTTTCAATTTTGCTAAGGGACTCCACAGTTTCCTTTGCTCACAGACTGGGGCTAGGCTAAGGGGTGTGTAAAAGGTTGGGGTGGGTGGGTGGAGGGAGACTACTGCTGGGGGTTGGGGGGGCATGAGGGGGGGCGGAGGGATGGTAGTTAAAGGAAGAGACCGGAAGGGAGGAGGAGGGAGCCTGCTGGTGGGGAGGGAGGGGAGGAGGAGGAGGAGGAGGAGGAGGAGGAGGAGGGAGGAGGAGGAGGAGGAGGAGGAGGAGGAGGAGGAGGAGGAGGGAGGGAGGGAGGGAGGGAGGGAGGGGGTTGGGGAGAGCCTGCTACAGTTCTTTGTTTGACTCCGGGACTCAGGGACGGGGAGGAGGAGGGAGGGAGGCAGAGACTGCAAGCGCCGGGGCAGGCCCAGGAGGCAGAGGAGGGACCATCTCCCCCGCCCCCCCAGCCCCCACTCCTCCCCCTGCTGCTCCCCCCTCCCTACCCGGACTCCGGGGGCACCGCCGGGGGACAGACACCCAGCAGGTAACCCCGGCCTGGCTCAACCCTCCCCTCTTGGATTTTCCCCGACACCCTGCGAGATGACTCCTTTCCTGGTTCCGTCTCCCCGTTTCCCCGTCTTTGCTGCTTTTCCCTAGCCCTCCTCGTTCCATCTCCCCAACTTGGCTGGTCGCCCCTGGGTGCACGGCGGTCTCTCGGAGCCAGACTCCTTCCCCTCCTCCCCCGACAGCCCGGCCGCCCGGTCTGCTGGCTGCATCTTCCCGGGCTCCGGCTCCGGCTCTGGGCTCTGCTTTCCTTCTGACTTGTCTCCTGAGGCTCTGAGGAACGAGGGAGTCCCAGTCCTTTTCTTGCTCCCCTAGTTCCCCGCCCCCCAACTCTGGCCCCTTTCTCCTTCTAGCCGTCTCTAGGGGTGGGGAGGGAACCGGAATTTGGGGGGCCCTCAGGAGGGGTAGGGAGCTGTGTGTCGCTGGGGAAAGGGGGTTGTGTGTGCGCTGAGTGTATGCGGGGTGGGGGTGGGATGGCTAGCGATCGGCTGCTTCTCCGTTGTCCCTTTAAATGGCCCTCACATTTCTGGGGACTCTGGGGGGTTGGGGGGGAGAGGTGGCAAGCCGCCTGCCTAGGGGGCAGGGCCCTTGGTTGGTCCACACAATCAGGGGTGGTAATGATTTAAAGGGACAGCCACGGTGTGGCCGCTGCCACCCCGCACTGGCGGGAGGGGGAGCTGGCAGGCTGTGTCTGTGGAGACTTGACTTTCGAGCAGGGCATTTAAGGCTGAGTCTGATGCGGGGCCTACTGGGTCTGGAATGGTGCTGCGACTGGGATTCGCGAGGAGGGCTGACAGCTTCTCTGAACTCCGCCCGGGAGCTCTCGCTAGTTCATGGACTGCCAGGCCAGGAATCCCAGGTCTGAGGAGCCTTCCACCCTCAGGTGGGGGCCGCCCACAGGTCTGCAGCAACCTGCCCCAGCACCTGGGCTCCAGCCCTTGGGCTTTCCCTTTTGTTGTTTGACTCTGTGTACTAGAAGGCCCCAGTCCCTCCCCCAGCCCTCCCTTCCCAACCACATGCCCCCCCTCCAACCCCCACCCCAGCTGTTGGACAGATGAATTACAACCTCCGGTTTAGGGCCAGGGCTGGTGAGGGATTAAAGCTCTGGGGCTGTCTCTTTAAAGGGTCGCCTGCCCTTCCCCCACTCTGTGTCCAGACACCCCTTACACACCCCACTCACCCCCTTGTCTGCCCCCACTCTTGTTGGTCTGTCTTAAGCCCTGCTACTCCCCACTCTCTAGGCTAGGCCTTCCCCAGTATCCCCTCTTACACAAATGCTGCACACACGTGCACTTGTCCGTGTACACACACACACACACACACACACACACACACTCACACACACACTCACTCACTCACTCACATGCACGCACACCCACCACTCCCCAGACCCACATTATGAGTATTTCTGTCCTGGAGGGCTCTTGCTTCATGCTCCCTTCTCCAACAGAAGGACCTTGTCTGCTAAGCCTGCAGCTGACCACTGCCCGGGCTCAGTGAGGGGCCTTGATATGGGTCAGAAATAGCACCTCCCTGGGGGCAGTGTCATCAGCAGCCATGGCAGCTTGCAGTACATTGCATCATGGAGGCTGGGGGCCAGAGGCCTGAGTCTCTGGGGCAGGGGGAAAGCGAAGGGCTGGGAGTCCAGAGAATGTAGAAACTAGACTCAGAGCCCAAGTGCCCAGGTCCTGAAGGACAAACAGTTGGTAAGGAAGCAGAGAACATGGGTCCTTTGGAGTGAATTTGAATTGAGGGCAGACTTGGGCCTGACCTCTGAATGGACACTTGACTCTTGGCCCTGGATTCCTGTTAAAAGACCTTTTTGTCTCTGGAGAACTAGAGGGGGAGGACATGGGTCTCTATCTACTTTCTTAGGTCACACAGAGGAAGGAGGTGATGGGGAAATCGGATATGGCCTTGAGGGGTGGGATAGAAGGCAGGCTTGCAGCAGAGGCCACTTCCAGACCCTGACCCAGCTTCTCAGTCGCGGCTGTGGAGGAAGGTTCCTCCCTGCTGGGCCCGTTCATCTAGTCTGGCTACCTGTGCAGCTCGCCAAGACCTGCCTGCACCTGCCTGGGGGAAGTGGAGGGGGCAGAGTCCAGAGGGTGGGGTTGGCTGGTGTCTTGATAAGGTTAAGGAGGGGCAGAGCTAAAGGAAGAGAAGCTGCACGCCTAGTGTCCGACTGAGGCTGCTTTGGGCGCAGGTAATAGGAGTAGTTGGGGCTACTCTGAGCCCTGGGACTCTGAGCAAGGGCGTCTAATCAGAAGGATCCCAGACCTGGTTTCCACTGTGAGCTTATGTAGATGCTGTAACACGCTCCCTGGACCCCCTAGTCTAGGCTACTTCCTAAAGGATAAAGCTGGAGGACTAGTTTGAGGATGACTTTTACTGGTTGCCATAGCAACAGTTTCTTCCATCCCATCTGACCATCAGAGCCAGATTTCTCCTCAGAAAGGGGACAGGGAGCACAAGAAAAAATTCTCTAGTCTGGAGACCCCCCCATTTCTAACTGGCTTTTCTTTCTTTCTTTCTTTCAGGTTTCCCCAGGCATCATGTCAACCCCATAGTAACACCCACCCCACTGTTTGTGGTTTGCTGCACCCCACTGCTGGGGCACTGGTTCCAATGAGACAGGCACACCAGACTCCATCTGGTAAGTCCTATCTCTTAACCTATATCCCTTCCCCCACAGTTCAACTCTGATTAAATGCTTGAGGAAGATTGATATGATCTGGATCATGCCCACTCTGGAATGGTCCAATCCAACCCCACATTCCCCCACACTGTAGTGTCTGAGTGGTTCAGCCTTTCTGGTTTATGGAGCTCCCTTCTGTCACCTACGAATGGTTCAGTCCTTTACTTCACCAGCCTCTCTACTATCACTGGAAAAAATATCGCCCAGTGTTACAACTCAGTTGCTTATTGAATTCAATAAAGCCAGGGTTTGCATGCTGGGAAGCAGAGGTGAGATACCTTGAAAGGATTTTTCTGGGATGGGGAAAACTTTGTGCTCTACAAGTTGAACAACCTGGGTTATGAAGGGTGATTAGAAACTGACTTGAAGAGATAACCAGAGACCATTGCCACCACCATCTGATTTTGCTGTGGCATCTCACCTTTCCTTCCAGATCTTTGTCCCTTTCTCCAGTGTACTTTTGTACTCTTCTCTCTCTTTCTCTGTCCCTCTTATTCCTCTTCTACTTTCCTCTCTCCTGCCATTTCTTTAGTCCTCTGCTTTAAGGCCCAGCTAAATTCTCCATTTCTGCAGAGGAAAAGAAGTTCTCTAAGCCAGAGTCTTTAAGTTTGGTTTGGCGTGGAGGGGGCATATGGGTCTGTGTTGCTCAGGGCTTAGTCCTAGCTCTGAGCTTAGGATCTCTTCTGGCAGGGCTCTGGGGACCAGGGGTTGAACCTGGGTCAGCCATATGCAAGGCAGCAAGGCAAGCGCCTTCCCCCGCTGTACTGTCTTCCCAGGCCTCAGGGCTTAAGTTTTAAGTAGGTGCTGCTGCTTTTCTCTACTAGTCACTGAGTTTCTTGAGTGGGATTGTTTCCTCCTGTGTGTCTGTCATGGTTTGGCAAGATGGTTTTGCATATTGGGGTGCCTCAGTGGAATTGCATTGAATGAATGTACTAACTGAATGAGCTTCATTGCCAAGAATGAATGCCTTCTGAGATCTGCTGCCCAGCCTCCTTCCCACACCTTCTCTAGAGGATATGAGACATTTGGGATGGTAATCTGGGGGCAGTCCTAGGGGCAGGCTGACTCAGGAAATGATCTGTGAGGTTAAAACCCAACTGGGAGGGAACAGGGCAAAGGCACTGCAGAAGTGTTGTAAGGATGTGACTCTGGAAAGAAAATGTATACTCTTGTAGAATGACCTTGCCCAAGGAGCCAAGCCTCCCTGAGCCTCAATTTCCTCATCTGTAAAGTGGATTTAATAAAAATCTTTTCTACATCAGATTGGGGGGGAGGGTTAAAAATGTATAGAGAGTGCTTAACAGTGCCGGGCATGAAATAAATTCAGTAAATGCTAACAATTACCATCATAATGGTAGCCTCTGGGATTAAGAAGCTGTGAAAATGAGCAAGGCTTTTGAGGAATAGGGGAAGAACTTGATGGAAGGCAGACAGACCCCCAAATACTTGACTCAATCAGAAGATCACTGATCCAGCAAGGCTTCAGAATTCAGGGCAGAGCGGCGACCAGCCAGTAGGGCAGGGTCAGCCTGCTCCAGTGTTCCCATGACTTTGTTCAGGAACATGATGGCAAACACAGAAGGGCATGTGCAGAGACACACGTGATCACACAAGTGATGCAGAGGCAGACCCAGACAAAAGACAGAGACAGGAGCTAGGCAGACGTGCAGACAGAGACAGCTCCATGGAGTCGTGTAGACAGAGGTAATGACAGGAACACGTCAGGCACTGGAGGAGACAAGATGAGCAGAAATGCAGGTGCACACGGAGGACAGACTCTGGGGCCCACACACAGTCGACCTTGTCAGGCAGACTGGGGAACACAGCGGTCCAGTCAGAGTCAGACACAAGGCTCACAGTGACACATAGCGGGCCGGGCCAGCACTGTCGCTCCTCGGTGGGGGCTGGGAGGGGCCCCCTCTTTGGCGGGGGGTGGCTGGGGAAGGGAATCCCGAGCGGGCGGCTTGCCCGCGCGGCTGAGTCACAGCAGAGCCTCGGCGGCGGCCCTCCCCTCCGACTCCCTCTCCCCCAGGTAAGACGGGAGTCAGTAACCCCTCGTTTCCGCCAGGCGGGGAGTGGGATGCGGCGGGTGCCGAGTCCCGACCCACCTCCGGGTGCTTGCGGCGTGCCTGCCGACCGCCGCTTCTGTAAAGCCCCGTCTACCGGGCCTTGTCTTTGGCCGTCGTGTGAGTCTGTGTGCGCACGCCCAGCCCCTCTCTCCGAGTCCCACGAGGGGCTGCTTCCGTCCTCGAGTCGCGAGAGAGTTAAGTGGGTGTGATTGATGGAGAGGATCCCTCGGGGGGCTCTAGGGGAGGGGGCTGGTTAAAGTCCCGGCGTCCAGACCCCGGATGGAAAGGGCGGAGCTGGTCGGAGCCGGGAGTGCCCGGATGGCGAGGGCGTGGCCTGGGCGGGAGAAGAATTAACCCTGTGCGAGCCGAGAACTCCCAGGACCGTGGGGCGGGTGGGAGAAGCTGGAATGTCGGCCTTTGAAGTCCACGGTCCTCCCGGCCAGGCTCGGGCCGCCTCCGTGTGCCTCTCATCTGCCTCCGAGGAGTCTGTGGATGTCTGTCTTTGTGCCTGCTCGTGGTCTTCTCCTCCCCTTGGTTAGTATGGACCGCGGGAGTCGGGGAGGACGGCTCCTGTCCCAAAGCGAGAGTGGAGGTGAGAGTGGACCGCAAGCCGCTGCTGGCGCCTGGGGGAACAGGTGTGAGCCCGGCGACGGGCTCGGGGAGGGGCCGCAGTGGGGGGAAACGAGAGGGGGAAATTCCGGGGGACCGGTGGTAAGCGGCGTGTGGGCTGAGTTGTGTCTGCCTCTGACTGTGTCTGTGTGTGTTCGGGGAGGCGGGGGCTGAGTCAGTGGGAATAGGGGAAGGTTTTCTGGGTGACTCATGTTCCCCCACCCCAAGCCTGAATCAGACCCCGAGGGAGGGCTTTGTCCGCCGACACCAGACCAGACGGATGGCGAGTCAGGCATCCGGGTCCCGGCGGGGCGAGGATCCCCGGTGGTTGGCTAGTGTGTGTTTAGTGCACAGGAAGTTTTGGCCCTCGAGTGAGCGTTACTATACTCCGAGTGCCGCCGGGGGAGGAGAAGGGTGAATCAAGGTGGAAGGGGGCTGGAGGGACGGGGCTCCGCGGTTTGGGGAGAGCTGAGTCAGTTCCCCGTGGGAAAGGGGAAGTGGCAGAGGGGAAGTGTCATCATCGCTGAAGGGGGGGCTGCATTTCCTGGTAACGGGCAGCACCCTTGGCAGCACTTTCCAGAAGAGGCTGTGCTCCTCTGTTGGACTGAACCCCTCGCCCCCACCCCACTGCCCATTTACCCGGGTCTGGCTTGTGGGTCCCAGGACTTGAGTGAGGGCCGCCCTCCTAACCGCAGCTAGGCGAAGTACTTGTCCCGGGGCGTAGTTACTGAGAGGCTGCATGAAGGAGAGCGAGTGCTGCCCGAAATTCCTTGTGGACTGTGCTGAGGGTTCCCAGCGCCCTCGCATCCTTCAGGGCCCCGCGCCCGGTGCCTGGACGGGAACTGTAGGGTTCGAGCACCGCCAGGCAGACGGACGACGCTGCCCCGCGGAAGGAGGTCCCTTCACCAGAAATCCTCCTGCCGTTGTGGGCTGGGTGGAAATTTCCCCACGGCGCGGAGTGCTCCTAGAGCCGGCGAACTTTCCAGCCGCCCCCAGCCCCCGTGGCGCGCGCTCCCCCGGCTTCCTGCCCGGCGTTCGCTCCAGCTGGAGCGCTGGCCCCGCCCCCGCCGCTTTGTACTCGACACTCGCCTCTGGGCTCTTTGTACTCTAGTCTAGACTCTCAATGGACCGACCCGGAGAGCGGAGCCGGCTCCCTACCTGCGGGGACTGCGGGTAGGCTAGACGGAGGCGCGGGGGACGCTCCTCTTGGGCTCAGAGACCGAGAAGCAAGAACCAGGGCTAAAGAAAAGGCACCCCGGAGAGGAGCTCTAAGCTCGCTCTGTGCTGAATTAGCACCGACGGGGGAAGGGGGGGCGTGAAGGAGGAAGTGAAACGGGTTCTGGGTTCTTTAAGGGAGTGGGCGGTGAGAGTGGGGCAAGGGTGATGTCACCGCCGGCAGGGCCCCGCCCTCCTCCCTCCCGACGGACACCCCCTACACACACACACACACACGCACACACACACACACACATACACACGCGCGCGCACACACACACACGCGCGCGCGCGCTTCCGCTGCGCAAGTAGCCACGTCACGGGCAACCCCCGAAATCCCCCTCCCTGGGGGGGCGGGGGCCACGTGGGCCGTGGGGAACCGCGTGGCCCCGGCGGGGAAGGACAGATAGGATACGGGAGCCAGAGAGAGGGGCCACTGGGGACCGCGTTGTGCGACTTCTCAAAAGTTGGGACTAAAGCGAGCGAGGGTGGCTTTGGGTGATCGGTTGGTACCGAAGACGTAGAGTCTGGTCAACTGGAGAGCTGAAGGAATTAGGTATGAGGCTTGACTGCTGTGGGATGGGGTCAGGCTCGGGGTGCCAAACGCTTTCTCTCGCGGCCGGGCTGTGGCGGCACACAGCTAGCCTCGAGCTGTTCCGGGGGCGCTCGGGGTGGGGGGGTCAAGCACCCGGCGCGGGGGAGGGACGGAACTGTGGGCTTTGTTTTGAGTGGTCCGCCGGTCCATTGGTTTGGGATGGGGCGCTCTGGCAGACCAGCGGGGCCAGGGGCGGTTCCCGGGTTCGCGGGGCTTCAGGGAAGTGCCATCCCCATCCCTCGGGTGAGAGTGCGACTCACCGCGTTCACCCTGACAGGACCCCGGCCCGAGTGTCAGTTTCGCGGTGGAGACCCCAGGTGGGAGCCGTAGGGTCACCTCGGGGTCACCCGGGGCCGAGCCCGTCTGACCGGCTCCGGCGCCCCTCCTTCCGCGGCCCGCTGCGGCGGGCTGAGCGCGCTCCTATTGGCCCCCTCTAGGCTGTTACTGAGGCGGAGACAGGGGTGATGATTGGCTGTGCGGGCAGAGAGGGACTCCTGTGATTGGCCAGGCCGCTGGAGCTCGCCGCCGCTGCGAGGACTCTCCCACGGAGGCCGGGTAAGCGGCCGCGGTTGCCGGTGGGGGTGGGGTGGGCAGACTCGCTGCTTGGAAGCTTGGCAGCGGCTGCCCGAGCACGCACTAGCCACCGCGCTCCCCGCCACTCATCCGGCCTCTCGCCACGCACGTGGAGCTCTAGGACTCCTCGGGCTGGGTGGGCCTTCCCCTCACGGCAAGCTCACGCTGGCCTCCCGTGGCAGCCGCAGCCCGCCCATCCCACCCCGAAAAGCCCTGACCATGTGCCGGCCAGCTCACCTCACTCGTTTCCTCCTCCTCTTTGTAGAACGGTCTGGGAAAGGCCCTGCGCAGCCATCTGGGGGGCAGTGGGCATTCTTTCAGCAGTTGGAGCAGGACCATCGCCCCAGAGAACTGGGGCAGGGGGCCTTGCCCGATCTCCAGGGCTCCTGGGGCCACTGCTGACCTGGTAAGGGATGGGCTAGATTGTACTGTGTGTGTGGCACGGGCAGTTTGTACCACAAGAGCCCAAGCTGTTCCCTCCGTAAGATCGTAATCTGTTTTCCCTGATTCAGGCTGGATGCATCGGGCAGTGGACCCTCCAGGGGCCCGCACTGCACGGGAAGCCTTTGCCCTTGGGGGCTTGAGCTGTGCTGGGGCCTGGAGCTCCTGCCCGCCCCATCCTCCTCCTCCTCGAAGTGCATGGCTGCCCTCAGGCAGGTAAGAACTTGAACCATCTCTTCTTGGCTATAGGCACTCCTCTCCCTTCTGTGTGTACACCTCAGTTCTGTGTCATTTTTTATGCTTTTTTTGTTTTTTATTTTGTGGGCCTCCTTTGATGCAGTTCTCACCTAATTTCTTTTATGTCTGAAATATTCTTAGGTAGCGACAAATCAGCTTCACTTTGTTGCACATTAACAGACCTTCTCTCTCTAGGTGCTCTGCCAGCATTGGGCAGCCCCCACTCCCTGCTCCCCTGCCCCCTTCACATGGCAGTAGCTCTGGGCACCCCAACAAACCATATTATGCTCCAGGGTAAGTGAGGATTCAAAGGTGCTGGGATGGAAGGTGCTGGCTCTGGTCTTGAAGGCATTTTCCCATGCCTGACCACTCGGCTCCAAACCTTTCTTCTCTGTAGGACACCCACCCCAAGACCCCTCCATGGGAAGCTGGAATCACTGCATGGCTGTGTGCAGGCGTTGCTCCGGGAGCCGGCCCAGCCAGGACTGTGGGAGCAGCTTGGGCAGCTGTACGAGTCAGAGCATGACAATGAAGAGGCCATCCGCTGCTACCACAGTTCCCTTCGTTATGGGGGAAGCTTGCCTGAACTGGGGCCCCGCCTCAGCCGACTACAGCAGGTTAGATAAGGCAGAAAGACATCAGCGGGGGCTAAGGACTGCCTCCTGGTTCAGCGCCTCTCTCTCCTGTTTGCTTCTGCCCTGTTCTCTGCATCTGCCCTTATTTCCCCAGGCCCAGCTCTGGAATTTTCATGCTGGCTCCTGCCAGCACCGAGCCAAGGTCCTGCCCCCACTGGAGCAAGTGTGGAACTTGCTGCACCTTGAGGTGAGGCTGGAGCAGGGTCGGCAAGGGAAGAGCGGCCTGGTCAGGTCAAAGCCTGGACTCTTACACTCCCCCCCCCTTTTGGCCTCAGCACAAGCGGAGTTATGGAGCCAAGCGGGGTGGTCCCCCAGTGAAGCGAGCCGCTGAACTCCCTGTGGTGCAGCCTATGCCCCCTGCAGCGCTCTCAGGCCCCTCAGGAGAGGAAGGCCTCAGCCCTGGAGGCAAGCGCAGGAGAGGCTGCAGCTCTGAGCAGGTAGGACGTCACGTGGGTGAGCGGGCAGAGAAGGGGCGGGACACGGGGCAAGAAGTGGCATTCCTTTTTGTTTCTCCTTTGGGTTTTGGGCCAGCGTGAGGCTCCTCCCAGCGCAGTGCTTGGGTTGTGCTCAGAGATAGTGCTCTAAGGGACTTGCAGCAGGGATGAAATCGAGATGTCTGCATGCAGAGCATCCTCCCCAGCCTGCAGAAGTGGGTCCTTAAGTCCACTTTTTTTTTCTAGACTGGCCTTCCCCCTGGGCTGCCGCTGCCTCCACCACCGTTGCCACCACCCCCACCGCCACCACCTCCACCCCCGCCACCACCTCCACCCCTGCCCGGCCTAGCCACCAGCCCGCCATTTCAGCTGACCAAGCCAGGGCTGTGGAGTACCTTGCATGGAGATGCCTGGGGCCCCGAGCGCAAGGGATCAGCACCCCCAGAGCGCCAGGTGAGCAGTTACATGTCGCTCCTTTGCCCTTTGCCTTGTCCCTTTGCCCGTGTCCTCTGTTCCTTACTCTGTCCTCACCTCCTCTAGGATCAACGGCACTTGCTGCCTCACCCATACACATATCCAGCTCCAGCCTACACTGCACACCCCCCTGGCCACCGGCTGGTCCCGGCTGCACCCCCAGGCCCAGGCCCCCGCCCCCCAGGAGCAGAGAGCCATGGCTGCCCGCCTGCCACCCGTCCCCCCGGAAGTGACCTTAGAGAGAGCAGAGTTCAGAGGTCGCGGATGGACTCCAGCGTTTCACCAGCAGCAACCACCGCCTGCGTGCCTTACGCCCCTTCCCGGCCCCCTGGCCTCCCTGGCACTACCACCAGCAGCAGCGGCAGCAGCGGCAGCGGCGGCAGCGGCAGCAGCAGCAGCAACACTGGTCTCCGGGGCGTGGAGCCAAGCCCAGGCATTGTGAGTTACGGTTGCGGGTGAGAGGGGTGGGGGCTGGGGACCAATGGAACCTGTCGGGTCGCTAGAGCAGCCCTCTGATTACCCCATCCTACTTGCAGACCGGCGCTGACCATTACCAAACTCCTGCGCTCGAGGTCTCCTCTCACCAAGGCCACCTGGGGCCCTCCACACACAGCGGTCGGAAACCATTCCTGGCGGCTCCCGCTACCACTCCCCACCTGCCCCTGCCACCTGGCCCCCCCTCGCCGCCACCACCCTGTCCCCGCCTCTTACGCCCTTCGCCCTCCCCTGCCTGGCTGAAGGGCCCGGCTTGCCGGGCAGCCCGAGAGGATGGAGAGATCTTAGAGGAGCTCTTCTTTGGGGCCGAGGGACGCCACCGCCCTCCTCCCCCACCCCTCCCCCAACGTGAGGGCTTCTTGGGGCCCCCGGCCCCTCGCTTTTCTGTGGGCACTCAGGATTCTCACACCCCTCCCACTCCCCCGACCACCAGCAGTAGCAGCAGCAGCAGCAACAGTGGCAACCACAATAGCAGCAGCCCAACTGGGCCTGTGCCCTTCCCCCCACCTCCCTATCTGGCCAGAAATATGGACCCCCTTCCCCGGCCCCCCAGCCCAATACTGAGTCCCCAGGACCCACCTCTTGCACCCCTGACTCTTGCCCTGCCTCCAGCCCCACCCTCCTCCTGCCACCAAAATACCTCAGGAAGCTTCAGGCGCCCGGAGAGCCCTCGGCCCAGGATCTCCTTCCCAAAGACCCCCGAGGTGGGGCCAGGGGCATCCCCAGGCCCCCTAAATAAACCCCCCCAGCCTGTGCCGCCTAGAGTTGGGGAGCTGCCTGCCCGAGGCCCACGACTCTTTGATTTCCCCCCTACCCCACTGGAGGACCAGTTTGAGGAGCCAGCTGAATTCAAGATCTTACCCGATGGTCTGGCCAACATCATGAAGATGCTGGATGAATCCATTCGGAAGGAGGAGGAGCAGCAGCAGCAGGAGGCAGGTGTGGGCCCTCCGCCCACCTTGAAGGAGCCCTTCCCACCTCTGCAGTCTGCATTCCCCGCTGACGCTTCCCCAAGCCACACTGCTGCCACCACTGCTGCGGCCGCCACCACCACCGCCACCGCCACCGCCACCACCACCACCACCGCCGCCGCCGTCACCCCAGCCACACAGGAAGAGGAGAAGAAGCCACCACCAGCCCTGCCGCCGCCACCACCTCTAGCCAAGTTTCCTCCACCCCCCCAGCCACAGCCCCCGCCACCCCCATTACCCCTACCAGCCAGCCCGGCCAATTTGCTCAAATCCTTGGCCTCCGTGCTAGAGGGACAAAAGTACTGTTACCGGGGAACTGGAGCAGCTGTTTCCACCCGGCCTGGGCCCTTGCCCACTACTCAGTATTCCCCTGGTCCCCCATCAGGTGCTACTGCCCCACCACCCACCTCAGTGGCCCCCTGTGCCCAGGGCTCCCCACAGCCCTCTGCTTCCTCTTCATCTCAGTTCTCTACCTCAGGTGGGCCCTGGGCCCGGGAGCACAGGGCGGGCGAAGAGCTAGCCCCGGGCCCCGGGCCCCCCGCCCCACCGCCCCCACCCCTCCCGATGCCCCCTACTCGCTCTGAGTCTGAGGTGCTAGAAGAGATCAGTCGGGCTTGTGAGACCCTTGTAGAGCGGGTGGGCCGGAGTGCTGCAGACTCGGCAGATCCAGTGGACACTGCAGTCCCAGTGGACAGTGTGACTGAGCGGCTGCTACAGCCCGCCCAGGCCAAGGAAGAGAGCTGTGGGGTAGCGGCAGCTGCCGGGCCAGGCAGCAGCAAGCGGCGGCAGAGGGAGCACCAGAAGGAGCATCAGAAGGAGCACCGACGGCACAGGCGGGCCTGTAAGGACAGTGCGGGTCGGCGGCCTCATGAAGGCAGGGCCAAAGCCAAGGCCAAGGCTCCCAAAGAAAAGAGCCGCAGGGTGCTGGGCAACCTGGACTTGCAGAGTGAGGAGATTCAGGGCCGGGAGAAAGCCCGGCCCGATCTTGGCGGGGCCTCCAAGGCCAAGCCACCCACAGCTACAGTGTCCCTACCAGTTCCTGTCCCCTCCGCTCAGCCCACCCCCCCAGCAGCCCCTGTCCCCGGGAAGAAGCCGCGGGAGGAAGTTCCAGGGCCACCTGGTGTCAGCCGGGCTGACATGCTGAAGCTGCGCTCACTTAGTGAAGGGCCCCCCAAGGAGCTGAAGATCCGGCTCATCAAGGTAGAGAGTGGTGACAAGGAGACCTTTATTGCCTCTGAGGTGGAAGAGCGAAGGCTTCGAATGGCTGACCTCACCATCAGCCACTGTGCTGCTGACGTTGTGCGTGCCAGCAAGTGAGTTAGGGGATGCCACCCGCAAGGCTGCAGCCTGGCTCCAGGGGAGATGCCCTTTCCCTTCACTCTAAGATTTCTATCCTCATTTCACTGTCCTCCACAGGAATGCCAAGGTGAAAGGGAAGTTTCGAGAATCCTACCTTTCCCCTACCCAGTCTGTGAAACCGAAGATCAACACTGATGAGAAGCTGCCCCGGGAAAAACTCAACCCACCCACACCCAGCATCTATGTATGTGGTCAGAACTGCCCTTGCAGAGGGTTCTAAGCCAGGGCCGTGGGGCATGCTCAGTCTGGGATAGTATTCTGAACCTGTCTTCTGGTTGGCCCTCAGCTGGAGAGCAAACGAGATGCCTTCTCACCAGTGCTGCTGCAATTCTGTACAGACCCCCGAAACCCCATCACCGTCATACGGGGCCTGGCAGGCTCCCTCCGGCTCAGTGAGTGTGGGGACCAGGAAAGTGGGAAGGTTGCAAAGACCTGGTACATTGGGGTCTGGGAAGAAGTACAGGGGTTAAGTTTCTTGCCTTACATTCAGCCGACCAGGTACCCCATTTGGTCTCCCAAGCCCAGCAGGAGTGATCCCTGAGCACAGAGCCAGGAGTAAGCCCTGAGCACTGCTGGGTGTGGTCACCCCCCCAAAAAAATTTAAAAACTAACAACAAAACCTCAGGCCAATGTCTCAAGTAAGCACTCCTCAGTTATATGTGGATAGTTTTAAGAGAGCTCTGAGTGATGGATATGCTGGGTCAGGCTTTTTAGCCCACTTTGTCCCTAGCAGGGAGCAGGTGGGAAAAGTTGTAACCCAGGGCTCAGGAGTTGCTCCGTTTGATGGTTTTGGTAGTTCAGTATAAGAAGAATATTGATTCATAAAATATTGATGTAGAATACTGATTTGTAGAATTCTAATTGTAGAAAAATTCTGGAGATGTGGTTTGGGACTTTCAGCCTTTTATTGTGCAAAATTTCAAGCACATTCTATAGTAAACCATACAGAAATATAAAAACCAACCTGTTTCTTCTACATCCTTCCCACTGACATCACTAAGGCACAATCTAGGCTCTCTAGATTTGGCTCTTTCACTGACTCCCAACAATAAGTCACCATCCATTGAGCAGCAGGGGACACTGTGACAAGTGCCTAGCACATGTGGCCTAATGCACACCCGCACACTGATGGAGGGACTAAGACTTAGAGCAGTAGTGGGAAGAGAGTTGGTGACGATACAGATATCCCCCGCCCCCGAGGTGTGACCTTGAAGCTGCCCAACTCCAGTGGGGCGAACTCTTACCAGTTCTTATCTGGCTGAGCTCTGCTAAGCTGACCGTAACCATGTCAGAAGTTTGGGAAGTAAGAAAGAATAGGGTACACTCGCCCCTCATTCCTTGACCTCGTCCTTTACTCTTGATGTCCTGTCGGCCTTCCTGTGCAGACTTGGGCCTTTTCTCCACAAAAACGCTGGTGGAGGCAAGCGGTGAGCACACCGTGGAGGTGCGCACCCAGGTGCAGCAGCCCTCAGATGAGAACTGGGATCTAACGGGCACGCGACAGATTTGGCCCTGCGAGAGTTCCCGATCCCACACCACCATTGCCAAGTATGCACAGTACCAGGCCTCATCTTTCCAGGAGTCCTTGCAGGTGAGCCGCAGGCATGGGCGGAGGCAGAGCTGCGAGGGGTGGGTCGGGAAAGGTCTCTCACCCAGGCTGGTCTACCCCTTGCCCGAGCAGGAGGAGAAGGAGAGTGAGGATGAGGAATCGGAGGAGCCGGACAGCACCACGGGAACCCCGCCTAGGTACTACTGCTGTTTTCCCCCCTTGCTTTGGGGACTCTTTTTCCCGGTGCTCCACCAACCAGTACTTTTCATCTTAGCAGCAGCACCCCAGACCCGAAGAACCATCATATTATCAAATTTGGCACGAATATCGACCTGTCTGATGCCAAGCGGTGAGTGGAGAGGAGGCCGGCAGGGCTGGAGTGGGAGCGCTGAGGGGGTCCCGAGAGGAGTGGGCAGCCTCTTACTTTCGCACTTTCACCACCGCAGGTGGAAGCCCCAGCTGCAGGAGCTGCTGAAGCTTCCCGCCTTCATGCGGGTAACATCCACAGGCAACATGCTGAGCCACGTGGGCCATACCATCCTGGGCATGAACACTGTACAGCTGTACATGAAGGTCCCCGGCAGCCGCACACCAGGTGCGCCCTGCCTGGAGGGCGGGTGCGGAAGTGCGCGAGGGGCAGGGCTGGTAGCGCGCTTCCCTGTCAACCAATGAAGGCTGGAGGGCGTGCTGGGTCCAAAGCGCAGGCTCTGCCCGTCATGCCCATTCTCTGTTGCCCCCTGCAGGCCACCAGGAGAACAATAATTTCTGCTCTGTCAATATTAACATTGGCCCTGGTGACTGCGAATGGTTCGCGGTCCACGAGCACTACTGGGAAACCATCAGCGCCTTCTGTGACCGGTGTGCCCCCTTCCTCAGCCCTCCGCCAGATCCTCCCCACATCCCGTCCCCGGGTCCTCAGGTTTCCATCTGACCCTGTGGCCACCCCACAGGCACGGCGTGGACTACCTGACGGGTTCCTGGTGGCCCATCCTGGATGACCTCTATGCTTCCAATATCCCTGTGTATCGCTTCGTGCAGCGCCCCGGAGACCTCGTGTGGATCAACGCAGGAACCGTGCACTGGGTGCAGGCCACTGGCTGGTGCAACAACATTGCCTGGAACGTGGGGCCACTCACCGGTGAGAGGGTGGGGGAGCTGACGGGCGGGCTGTCCTTAGCCTCTCAACCTAGAAGGGGTGGGCCCCTGGGGGGCCAGCCCCGAGGGGAGGTAAAGCACAGAGGGTTGCCAGTTAGGACAAGGGATTTGGGGTTCCAGGTCTGGAGCTGTTTGAGAGTCTGATGGTGACTCAACCCCTCTGGCCCACAGCCTATCAGTACCAGCTGGCCCTGGAACGATATGAGTGGAACGAGGTGAAGAACGTCAAATCCATTGTGCCCATGATTCACGTGTCCTGGAATGTGGCTCGAACGGTGAAAATCAGCGACCCCGACTTGTTCAAGATGATCAAGTGAGGGCCATCTCCAAGGAAGTTCCCCTTCACCAGTCCTGCTCCTGCTCTTCTTTGTTCTGCCCTCTGTCCCCTCTCCATCCTTCCCCAAGTGCCTGCCATGCTACTGTCGTGGGGGACACGGGGGAGCATGCCCGGCCCCTGCTCTGAGGCCGTTTATTTCCCAGAGGTCCAGATAGGAAGCACGCGAGATTTGAGTTGTGACAGGCCGTTCAGGGGCTGTGACTGGGTGTGGAGCGGGACGCTCAGGAGGGCTCCTGCCCCTCTGTGTTTTCCTCTCCACGTGCAGGTTCTGCCTCCTGCAGTCCATGAAGCACTGTCAGGTGCAACGGGAGAGTCTGGTGCGGGCTGGGAAGAAAATCGCCTACCAGGGCCGGGTGAAGGACGAGCCGGCCTACTACTGCAATGAGTGCGATGTGAGTGGGCGTGCCGTGCCCCGCCCCACCCCCTGCCGGGAAGTGACTCCCCTGCCCCTTGACTCTGCTCTCGTTTCAGGTGGAAGTGTTCAACATCCTGTTTGTGACGAGCGAGAACGGCAGCCGCAACACCTACTTGGTGCACTGCGAGGCCTGCGCCCGGCGCCGCAGCGCGGGCCTCCAGGGCGTGGTGGTGCTGGAGCAGTACCGCACCGAGGAGCTGGCACAGGCCTACGACGCCTTCACGCTGGTGAGCGGCGGGAGAGGCCGAGCGGGCAGGGGCGGGGCGGCGCCGGCCGGCCCCTGAGCGGCGCCCCCACCTCCCCCCTCCGCCTTTCTCCGCAGGCCCCGGCCAGCTCGTCGCGGTGAGGCCGGACGCCCCGCCCGCCTGCCAGCCCGCAGGGCGCCGCGGGGCCACCAGCACACGCCCGGCCGGATCCAGGTTCCGCCTCTGGCGGGGAAGGGGCACGGCCGCCTTTTCGCCCCCTTGGCAGCTCCCCACACTTAATTTATTAAGAAAGAAGTTTTTTAAAGCAAATACGAGGAAAAAAGGGAGAAGGTGGGAAGTGGGGGTGGGGGAGCGGGCAGCCCCTTGCCCACCAGCGCCTCCCTTCACCGACTTTGGCCTTCAGCGACAGACACAAGGACCAGGCTCCGGCGGCCGGCGGGGGCCGCATACGGGTTCCTCTCGCCTGCCGGCCGCCCGCCCGCCCGCTCGGCGCAGATGCACGCGGCTAGCGTTGTACATAGACTTGACGGCAGCCGAGGTGTTTAATGAGATTCTTTTATGGGCTTCTCCCCTCCCCCAGACCTCCTTTTTTACTTCCAATGCTAGCTGTGCCCCTGTACATGTCTGTTAATTCACTTGGTTATGATTTGTATTTTCTGGTTTCTTTTTTAATTTATAACAGTCCCACTCACCTCTATTTATTCATTTTTGACCTCCCGTTCCTTCCAAGCCAGCCCGCCCGCCCTTCCAGAGACCGCCCGCCACCGGGCTCTCCTAGTGCCCCAGTGTGTGTCGGCCCGGCCTGTCGGTCTCCGCCCGTGGCTCCAGCCGGGTTCTCATGGTGCTCAAACCCGCTCCCCTCCTCTACTTCCTGCACTTTCTCGGACCAGTCCCCCCACTCCCATCCCGATCCCAACCCTGCCTGAGGGTGAGCGACTCCTGTACTGTAGGGGAAGAAGTGGGAACTGAAATGGTATTTTGTAAAAAATAAATAAATAAATAAAAATTTTTTTTAAAGTTTTAAAGAAAAGAACTATGAGGAAAAGGAACCCCGTCCTTCCCCGCCCCTCCCAGCCCCGGCCAATTTCAAAACTCGGACCTTCCCTTCGGTCCTCCTTTTTACGCGTGAAACAGCCCAGGGGCAGGGACACGCAGGGATGAATTTCTCTGGGGCTTTATTTTTGATTTGTCATTTTTTTCCTCCTCCATGCTGGGGCTGCGGGAGGGATGGGGGGTGGGGGGGGTTATAGTCCCGCCCCCTCGCACTGCACTGTCTCTCTGCCCCAGGGCAGAGGGGTCTTCCCAACCCTACCCCTATTTTCGGTGATTTTTGTGTGAGAATATTATTGAAAATAAAGTCAGAAAAAAAAATCCTGTTTCCCTAACGTGCTGCTGGGAGGAGGGCAAGACTGTGATTGATGGGGAGGCGCTCACTGCTCAGACCCCGCTGAAGGGGAGCCCCTCCCCAGAGGCGCCTTTGGAATGTCCAGAGCTCTGGTCCCGCTTCTCCAAACGGGAGTGCCTAATCCTGGAGGCACATTCCAGGATAAAGGGGGTGGGGAGAGGCTGGGCCAGGGGAGGAGCAGGAAAAAGGGCTATAAGGCCGTGGTCCAAGCACAGGGGAGAGCTAGGCGGGCCATGGCGGATGTCCCTGGGGTGCCGAGACCGGTTCCCGCAGGCCCAGAGCCTCGGGACCCACTGGACTGCTGGGCCTGCGCTGTGCTGGTCACAGCCCAAAATCTGCTGGTGGCTGCTTTCAATCTTCTCCTGCTGGCGCTGGTACTGGGGACCATCCTGCTACCCGCTGTCACCATGCTAGGCTTCGGCTTCCTCTGCCACTCCCAGGTGAGCCAGTTCCCCAGGGTGCATGTGAGTGCCGGTGAGTGTGCGGTTGCAGTGTGCTCTGTGGGCCCCAAGTTCCCGGCGTGGTCTTGTCAGCTGGGGTTTGACATACCGTCTCCTCTGTGCCTCCTCTTCTTCCACAGTTTCTGCGCTCCCAAGCACCCCCTTGTACCGCACACCTGCGGGACCCGGGCTTCACGGCCCTGCTGGTCACTGGATTCCTGCTCCTTGTGCCGCTGCTCGTGCTTGCCCTGGCCAGCTACCGTCGCCTGTGTCTACGCCTTCGCCTGGCAGATTGTCTCGTGCCCTACAGCCGAGCCCTCTATCGGCGCCGGCGTCCCCCACAGCCACGGCAGACCCGGCCCTCACCAGGATCCCAGGCCATTCCCACATCAGGGAAGGTCTGGGTCTGAGGATCCCAAGCCAAGAACCATGTTGACTGTCCTCTTCTCCCAGGCAGCCCAAAAACTTGAAGCCGGGGTGGGGGTTGGGGATGTCCCCCTATTTACCCTTCTCACACCCCTCAGCCAAGTCCTTCCTCTTTGGGGAAGAGCAGCATCTGTGGATCCACTGCAGTCGAAAATTCTGGAAAAACCACTCCTACTCTCATTACCCGTATCTGAATCCTGGGCTGGACCCTGCAAGTACATAACCTCCCACACCCCATCTTGTGAATAGAACCACCGACCTCTTTTTTTTTTTTCAGTGCAGCTAGTTATTTACAGGCTGGGGAGCGAGGTTGGAGGGGAAGGAGTGGTCATACATCAATAAAGGATGAAGGAACTGAATGTGCTGCTAGGATTCCGTGAATAGAGGGGGCCCCACACCAATACTATGAGCCCTGTCCATGCTTGGAGCAGGAAACATGGGGTGGGGGGAGGACTCAAGCATAAAGATGGCAGTATCCCTGGGCCTCCTGGCCTTCCCTTATCGCATTTACCCGTTCTTCCTGACCAGACCCCAGAGCTCAGTCCCTGACCCCAAACTCACCTCCCCCACCAGAGCGGTGGAGCCTGGCCTCTGCGGCCTGTCTCCCCTTGGGGACCCAAGCCCGTTCTCTGACCCCAGCTTAGAGGAACTCAGCATTGCCAGGACGGGGAGGAAAACAATGGGCCTTCCGGAGCAGGATGACGCCCCCTCCTGCCTTAGCAAGGGAGGGAAGATGAAGGGTTCCACCCAGGGGCCCACAGCTCGGCCTGGCCCCAGTCCCACCCAGAGCCTGAGGGAACCTTTGGCAGCCCTGGATGTTCAGGCCGGGAAGAGGGTCGAGGATGCTCCTGAGCTCAGAAACCCTCTCCTGTAGGGGTGGGGTGAGGAATCCCTGTCCAGCTACCCCAATTACACGGACACAGGGCTCTTCGGTCACTTTTAATGGAGTCAGGGCGGCGTGACCTCGATCAGAGATAAGGAGGCCCTGCCAGGTTCTCTCTCTGCACTTCGATGGAAACGATGTGGTGTCCAGGCACCATGGCCAGGCCCAGGACACGGGGTTCCCCCGCAGAGAAGGAATCTAGAAAGAAGGGCCAGAGCGTCAGAAGGCCGGCGGCGCCGGTCCCGCCCCTTCTGGGCCGCGACTTCCAGCCCCAGAAACTCGGGGGGGGGGGGGGCGCGGGTCATTCCAGGGGAAACGCCAAGCACGAGGCTCGTCCGGCGCGCTCGGTGCTCTCCCCGGCCACTGACCCGACGGCTTGAGGAACTCCTGAGCCGAGCCCAGGATAACGTTGCAGTCGCGGTCCGTGCAGAGGAAACAGCCGACCAGCGTCCGCCCGTCCGTCATGCGGATGCGCATGGTCTTGTTGAGCAGCGCCTCCAGCTGCTGCCGCGCGCGCGCCGCCGAGCAACCTTCGCGCTCCCCTTCCGAGTCCTGCGCGGGGACACGCCCTCAGCCCGCGCCGCCCGCCCTCCCGCCGAACCGCCGCTCCCGACAGCCCGCGGGGGGCTCGCCCGGCCGAGAGGCTGCCGGGAGCTGCGGTCCCCATTCCGGCCCCCCTCTTCCTCCCCGAAGCCCTCGAGACCCGGCGCCAAGCCCGCGCTGACCCCGGCGCTGGAGGTGCTCTGACGCCGGCTGCAACAGCCGTTCTCCTCTCGCAGCAGCACCGCTGGTCCAGCGCCGGCCATTTGCCCCGGGGCCGCCTCCGGGCCCTTCGATTTCGGAACCTTCCGGAGCCAGCGGCCTGAGATCTCGCGAGCGCGTCGACTCCTCCTTCGCGAGATCGCGGCCGCTTCCAGTCCTCTCGGCAGCTAGAGATATCGCGATCTCTGCTCCAGGACTTGCTCCCTGACGCCCAGCGCGCCGCTGGCTGAAGATATCGCGAGAAACTTCAGCTCTGGTGCTTTGCAAGTCCCGCCGGGAAGCTGGGGCTTAGCGAGAACACGTTTTTCCTAAGTACATCCCGCCCTGCGTTTGTACCTCCTGAGCTACCCCACTCTCAATGCCACCCCCCCCCCCCCCGCCTAAATTATGTAAAACAGCGTAACTCAAGGACCCGAGCGGCTGTTTCGAACTACGTTTCCCGTGAGCACGCGTAGTCCTGGCGCCTCCTCACCCGCACGGTAGGTGGTATTCACGGACGGTGGCTGTAAAGGGACAATGGTTTCCATGTGAGCGGATAACGCGCTCCCCTTGGCTCCTGCAAAACAGGGAAAATGATTCACTAAGTGCGTGCAGGGGCGCTAAGAAGCTTCCGAGGAAGCCAGAAGCACGGAGCAAGAGACATGTCGCGGCGGGGTCTAGTGCAAGGACCAGATTTCAGCAATTTCCAGCGTCGATATTTCACGCCATCTGAAGTCGCCCAACACAATATACCGGAAGACCTCTGGGTCTCCTACCTGGGATCCGTGTACAACCTAACGCCATTGGCACAGAAGTACAAGGGTAAGGGACACACTTTGGGCTAGGGTTGAGGTGTGGTGTGTAGATGTAGGACTGGTTGGTTCGGGGGCTGCCAGCACCCACTGCGGCTGCTCCTTCTCAGGAGATTTGCTCCTGAAACCCATTGTGGAAGTTGCGGGACAGGACATTAGCCACTGGTTCGATCCAAAGACCAGAGACGTGAGTTTTCGCGGGACCTGGGGTCGGGGGAGGGGCACTGGAGAGCTGGGATGGGAGGAAAAGCCGGAGCCGGTCAGACCTCAGGTCGTGACTGCTCAGACCCTTCCGCCCCAAACTCTGCTTTAAAGATTCGCAAACACATAGATCCTCTGACCGGCACCCTGAGATACCGCACCCCGCGGGGCCTGTTTCTGCACATCCCACCTCAGCTACCCCGTTCGGACTGGGCCAATGATTTCGGAACGCCCTGGTGGCAGGGCTCAAAATACGAGGTGGGGCGGCTGTCATCCAAGACCCGTAACATTCGCATCATTAACACGCTCACATCGCAGGAGCACTCCCTGGAGGTAAGAAACTGCTGCGTGAGGCGGAGGTTGGAGGCAACTGAAATTCCTGCACCCGCAGCCCTCCCCTAGCAAGTTTTCAGGCCGTTTGGTCTCCTTAACCGGCGGCAGTTCTGTGTTCTCTACTTTAGGGGAAACTGTCGTGAATGACAAAAATACACAGCTCCTTCACCAAGTACGGGGCTATTCATTGCATCTTAGCATTGGTGATTCTTACAACTTCTTCCATGCTGTGTTTACCATGGGGATGAGTTTGGGACGCTCGCTTTAACCCTTTTGGGCCAGAAGTGGCTGCCATAAAAACACTTTGGAGCCTTTTGTTACTGCTTGCTAGAGCTCCAACTTACTTTCTGAGCCTGTGGAGTGTCAGAAGCTCCAAAGTGTGTGTGTATGTGTGCGTTGTAGAGCCCGAAATTCAGAAGCACATGTGTGTCTGTGGAGTGTCTGAAGGAAACTTAGAAGCATGTGTGCATGTGTGAGTATGTGTATGTGTATATGTGCACATGTGCACAGGCGTGTGTGTGCGTGTGTGTGTGTGTTTGTTCTAGAAATCTGGAATGGGGTGCCAGGCCTTTCCGTCAGGTGGGACTTCCTTGTTCTCCAGGTGGGATCTCTGGAGTCAGTGTGGGAAATTCTGCATCGTTATCTCCCCTATAATGCACATGCAGCCAGCTATACATGGAAATATGAAGGGAAGAAGTTGAACATGGATTATACCCTGGAAGAAAATGGAATACGAGATGAAGAGGAAGAATTTGACTATCTCAGAATGGATGGTGCACTCTACACACCTGCAATATTGCTCTACTTCAACGATGACCTTACAGAGCTATAGGAAAGGACATATGTAACTCATGTAGAATCAAGACCTGTTTCCTGTTTCTGTGCCCTGTAGAAAAAGTATGGGAATGAAGGTGGGGTGCTCCTGGATTCTCACCTTCATTACATTCTGGGAACTGGCCTTTGGATGGGAATGCCAAAGGTCCAAAGATCCTATTCCCCAAATCCTTTATAATGGCTCAGAGAAAATCAGGGATAATACTAGAAGAGCATTAATTTTTAGGAATAAGGACCAGACAATTTGGACTAGGTTATAGCACTTGTCTTGCATACAGCCACTCGGGATTCGATCTCTGGTACTGCAATATGGTTCCTCCCCCTCCTCTCTGCCCCCAGAACCACTGAGTGATCTCTGAGCACAGAACACCTCAACACCCCTGGGTTTTGCTCCAAAACAACAAATTATTTTTAAGGATGGTACAAAAAATTTTTCAGGATCACTCCTTGGATTAGGGAGATACATAGGAGAGAGTACGATATAGGGAAATAGTGAAAACTCAGGCAAAACTTACATAGTGATGAAAACCTTTTTTTGGATTATGGTGGAAATGGAATGACTGCAGGAAGATAAGATTTAAAAATTGTAATAGAAAGCATCTATTACTATATAAAACTGCCATTCCTTAGTGAATGTATTTTGGCAGCTGATATATCCAAGGGGAAGACTGCTATGTGTTAAAATAACTGTCAGATAGATAGCATTATTGCTATTTTACAGTTACGATTTTTGAAGCTTAGCACAAAGGCACTCCAGTTAGTAACCAGAATATAAACTCATTTGTCCATGTTCTTTTTCAGCATAAAGAGAATATCTCAATGTCTAAACTAATGCTAACATTTGTAACAACTACTTCTCTGAACAAGTGTGTTTAGGCAGTTAAGTACGTCATTGAAACCTAAGGCTCACTGGCTTTTCTGAGTGGTGTATTGTAGTGACTGAGAGAAGGCTGATTGGGAGTCCAGTGTTAGCTGAGCAATGGCTTGAGGCTATATCCTGTTTAATTCAATAACAACCTTTTTTTTTTGTCTCTCTTTTTTGTTTGGGTCACACCCAGCAGTGCTGGAGTATTCTGTCTGCTTAGGGAACCATATCTGTTGCTTGGGTTGGAATCTGGGTGGGCCATGTGCAGGGCAAGTACCCGGCCCATTGTACTGTGTCTCTGACCGCAGCAAAACTTTTCTGACTTTTTTGAAGCAAAAAAAGGAAGTATTTACTGACCAGCACAAATTAAAATGAAGAAAGGGCCTTAGGATTGGAACATAGGTTGGGGAGCAAAAAGGAAGCAAACAGTATTGTATATTCAGGATGGGTGCTATCCTCTCAAGGGAAGACAAGGCTGTTTTCTTTGCAAAATGGTGGCTTTTTAAGAGGGGGCTGACAGGATTGGTGTAAAGATAAGAGCTAAAATAAGTGAGAAGTAAGTGTTCTCTGATGACTAAAAGAGAACAGTCATGGGGTACAGTGGCCAGAGCTGGTTCCTTTGTGTGTGTGTAGTGTGTGTTTCCTTTGGAGAGACATACCTGGTGGTGCTCAGGACTTGCTCGCGTCTCTGTGTCTCAGGGATCACTAGCGGTGCTCAGAGAACCAAATATGGTGCTGGGGGCTGAAACTATCTGGGCACACGGTGCAAGAACCCTTCCCACTGTATTGGCTCTCTGTTCCCTTTACTTTAAATCAAAAGAGGGAACTAAAAATCACCAACAGATGAACTTTCTGACAGAATCCGTCAGGGAGAGGTTATAAGCAATCAGAGTGCCTTCCAGATAAATGAAGACCAGGGTGAAGTGCAGATGGCCCGTGAGAAACTGAGTACCTCTTGCTAGAAACTCATATCCAGTTGTGAGGGAGCTTCTGATTTGCTGACTTTGAAATATCTGGACAGCGGTGCAGACTTAGGTACTCCACTAATGGCTTCAGCAGGATCCAGGCGCCCTGTGAAATGGATACATCATGTGTAATGAAGAGTCTGTGAAGTATCGGAATCATTTTTTGATAATCAACTGTTACTACCTTTTGGGAATCTTGATCCTTCCATTAAGCCCCTAACACTATGCTGTTGCTGTAGCAAAGGTGCTCAATTTGTTTGGCCTGCCACCCCCTTTTCAGAAAAAAATTACACAAAAATTCCCCTTCCCTACAGAAATCTATCTTTAAGTTAAAGAGGAAGTATTCTTCCCATTGCACCCCAGGCTACCTCCCCCACCCCCCAAGCAATCATTCCAGCACCCTGTGGAGTTTAGGGAGCAGTATCACCCACTTTGAGAAACAATGCAGAGCATACCTCAGGGCCTCTGCCTGTGGGACCTGCCCAAACTTGCACTTCTTTCAGAGGCTCCTACTTTAGTGCCTCTCGCTAGAAACTCATACCCAGTCACTTCTGTCTCTTAAATGTCTCAGGAATACTTTTGTGTAAACTATCATCAACTCTTGGCCAGACCCTTATGGAAAACTTCCTAGCCATTTCTGTGCACAGCAGAGCAAAATGTGAAAAAGAAACTTTTAGAATTCTTCAGTGGTTTCCAGTTCCTCTTGGAATAAAGCCTCAGCAGCTATCTCCGTTCCTTATGCTCCAGCCACACTCGCTGGCGTTCATTTGTCTCTTGCTCAGAACCAGACTGTACTCTGCTTGCAACCCTCTCCCTTCCATATTTCCGTTTTTCCTCCTAGCTGATCTTCAGTTCCTCAGGGAGGCTTTTCTCTTCAGTCCCACCCCCTGTGCCCCCCCCCCGCCCCCGCCTGCGGGGGAGGGGGGAAGGGAGGGGCGGGGCATCCAGAGAGGCTCAAGAGTTATTCCTGGTGGTGCTCACTCTGGGGACCATGCGAGAAACTGGGGATTGAACCTGAGTTGGCTGTGTGCAAGGCAAACGTCCTACCTTCTGGACTGTCTCTTCTCCAGCCCCAACATTTTTCTTTATATAGGCCAAGACTTTGGTTAGATTTCTCCTTAGCACTGTATATATTTCAGAGTATTTAACTACAATTGTAACTTTAAAATTATGGATGTAAAAAATAAAATTATAATGTAATCGACTGGCAGGCTACTAGACTGTAAGCTCGTAAGGGGCAGAGATTGTGTACTCTTGTGTACTGCTGTTTTTCTAAGGTTGGTGGTACACAGTTGCTGCTCAATAAATTTTGGTTGCCTGCACTCAACATCAAGTGAATTAATCTGTATATAATAACATTTCGTCAGGAATATTGTGTCCTCGGAGGCAAGGTGGTACCAAGAAATAGGACAACAGAATCCTGTGCTGTAATCCACAGGTTCTTTATGTATCCACGATTTGGGACTACTTTCTCATTTCGCCGCCAGGTGGCTGTAATCGCCTACATAGTTGTGGAGAGGAAGCTTTAGAAGAGGGAAAACACTTCCGTGTTCTCTAGAGGTTAGGGTTGAAAAAGTGGCTGGAGGAGGGTCAGATGTAAAAGGAGAAACCACATGGCTACTATTATTTTAGGTTTATTCCTGTTTTTAAAATGTTTCTGGGTGCCGCAGAGATAGTAGGATAGAGTGTTTGTCTTGTACATTGCCCTATCCGTTTTCAATCCTGGGCACCATATGTGGTCCCCCAAACACCGCCAAAAGTTCTTGAGTATAAAGCCAGGAGTAATGCCTGAGCACTGCAGGATGTGTCCTTCCCCCAAAAAAGTTTCTGGCCACTCTGGGGGTCCATAGATGTTGGGGATTGAACCGGGAGGCTCCTGCATACAAAGCCACAACCTTTGTGCCACCTCTGCAGCTAATTAAATTTTTTCCCATAAGCTAATGCCAGGAGAGGAGTATCATGTGAAAAGTAAAAATTCCATGATAGGAAAAGTACAGAGTCTGACTGCAGGTGTGGGAGTGTATGGGGCAACCTGTAGGAGGAATAAAAACCACAGTTTGGGGCCTGGAGAGATAGTACAGCAGGTAGGGTGCTGGCCTTGTATGCACCTCATCTGGGTCCAATTCCCAGCACCCCATAAGGCCCCTGAGCCCTGCCTGGAGTGAACCCTGAACAGTGAGTCAGGAGTAAGTTTTTAAAAACAAGCTCATTTTGGGGGGGGGGGGGGCAGGTGCTTTGGGCCACAACCAGCCATGCTCAGGGCTAGCTCCAGGCTCTGTACTTGGGGATCACTCCTGTAGGGCTCTGGGAGCACCTATCCATGTACTTCTGCTCCATCCAAAAAAAAAAAAAAACAGTTGACCTTTACACAACTGGGATTTGAACTCTAGAACTTACAAATTTTTTTTTACTTTGGGCAGGGCTTGGGGCATTATATGGTGTGCTGGGGATCAAATCTGGGTCAGCCATGTGCAAAAGCAAGTGTCCACTATATTATCTCTGGCCCCTACATGGATTTTCTTAAAAAGTACAATTATGGTATGATATTGTAATTGCATTTTCCAGTGATTTTCATAGTATTTATATTTTTTCTAGCTTTGCTAAAATACAGCATAACATAGCTGCAGATTTGGCTCACATAGTAGAGCACATACGCTGCATGTGTGCCCTGGGTTTGATGCTTGGCACTACATTCAACCCTCCAGGTACTGTTGGGTCTGGCTTCCATTTTAAAAAATGGGCCTGACAGCTCAGATAGAGAAGGGAGCACCAAGTAAAGGATGTTGGGAGGATCCTCCCAGGATGGGAGATGCATGCTGAAAGTAGACTATAGACCGAACATGACTGCCACTCAATGCCTCTTTTGCAAACCACAACACCCAAAAGGAGAGAACAAAAGGGAATGGCCTGCCACAGAGGCGGGGTGGGATGGAGGGGTGGGGGTGGGTGGGAGGGATACAGGGATTATGGAGAATGGGCACTGGTGAAGGGATGGGTATTCGATCACTGTATAACTGAAACCCAAGCACAAAAATTTGTAAGTCTACAACTGTACCTCATGGTGTTTCACTAACCAAAATTTAAAAAAATGGGGGGCCTGAGAACTTCTGGGTGGGGCTTCCAAAACAACAGGAAAATAGGGGCCTGGGAGATAACGCAAAGGGCTGGAGTGCGTAAGCCAATTTTATCTCCAGCACCATGTGCTTCTCTCCTGGGCTACTTGGAGTGACCCTAAGATTCCCTGAGCACTGCTTGGGATGCCCCAATATAAAAGTAAGTTTTGCTTTGTTCTGGATTTGGGCCACACCTGGTGGTGCCCAGGGCTTACTACTCCTGGTTTTTTGCTCAGGGATCACTCTTGACAGGACTTAGAGGACCATATGAGGTACCAGGGATCAAAACCGAGTCAGCCACAGCTAGGAGAGACACCCTGCCCATTGTACTGTTGCTCCCAGGAAAAATAATTTTTGAAAATTCACAGTATAACATATAGAATGTTAATAGACTGTTACCAGAAAGGCTTCTCTAGTA